AGTATGTTTGCTGTGTTACTGTTTTTGTCTGTTGTGCGCCCGCGCGCGCCTTGTGTATGTGTTTTGTGCTGTAGTACGCGTGTGTGCTATGGTGTGTGTGGTGGATGTGTGCGGCGTGGTGTGTATGTGGGTGTGTGTATGTGTGTGTCGATGGTTGTGCTGTGTGTGTGTGTGTATGTGTGTGTGTGTGCTGTTGTTTTGTGTGGTGTTGTGTTTGTGTGTGTGTGGTGTGTGTGTGTGTGTTGTGTGTGTGTGTGTGTGTGTGTGTGTGTGTGTGTGTTGTGTAGTGTGTGCGCGGTTGCACGCGGGGGCGTATTTTGCTGAGTAAGTCGGCATGTGTTTAGCGTAGAAACCGAGTGGTTAATAGTGTGTGGGTGTATGCAGGGGGAGTGCATAGAAAGACTAAAAGAAGATGAGTACATGAGTGATGACGAACATCAATAATGATGCATAGACGCGAACGAGAGGAGAGAGGAGGAAGGGGAAGCGGGGCGTGGAGAAGGAGCTAGGAGAAGGAGGAAGCTAAGAAACTGAGAAAATGTGAAGGATAATGGAAGGGGATAAAGTAGCCAGACTGGAAAGATGCGGGATATGAACCAGAAAAAAGGCTAATGCTGTATAATGATGATGGCTCGACAACCCTAAAATACAAACATCGATTGCGCCGCGGAAAATTTGGCCTGCCACTAATGGTTGTTCACTCACCCACACATTCACATTGACAGGCATGCCACGCAGACAAAAAGACGGAGTCATGAACTTGGCTTCGCAGTAATCCGCCATTTGCATGTGCGACATAATCAAGATGGCAGCTGGTAGCTGTGCGTTTTAGTACACAGTGACAGGTCCATCAGCAACGATCTAGTCACTATAGGTCTTACATCTGAATGTAGCAACGCGCCAGATACGATGAACGATATAATGTAGCGAAGTGTTGTTTCTAGCAGATTAGAGCGAGCGTGGAATGTAAATAGTAGCCGGTCATTATAACACACGCATTACAGGGTGTCATCGGATGGGCTAATTAGTGTGCTAGCTAGGTGTACATGATGCTTAAGCAATAAGAAAAGTGTATAGCGATGCGCTACATTGAATACATTGATTATAAGTTTATTGCCATTCTTTCCATAGTCTCAATGTTACGAGTGTGTAATAGCGACATATTGCCCCGCCTATTAGTATGCAGGTGTATAGCGATGGTAACCAGTAAGCATGTATATAGATTATGGTAATCAGTGCACACACACACACACACACACACACACACACACACACACACACACACACACACTCACCCACTCACCCCCCCCCCACACACACACATCGCGTGCCAAACTTCACAAATCTGATAGCTTCAATTCAAAGGTTTGCCATGCATCCTTCCCCGTCGGCAGAGGAAACGCCATGCGATAGCAGGCCCTGCCTTGTCGTCGACGAAAAAACATTGCGGCGCGAGCGCGAGCACCCACGCAGCGCGGCGCGTCGCCACTGCGCCGAATCTGCCGGCGACCGTATTTAAATGTGCCGACTTGGCAGCCTCGGTTCATTTGCACACGTTGGAGAGGGCGTTCGTGCAGCGATTCGATCACAGACGATAGAGCGAGGCAGAGGCGACACAGCGCAGCGGCACAACGACGAGAGAGGATTACGCTAGAGGAACGAGACAGCGAGCGAGAGAGAGAGAGAGAGAGAGAGGAGAGAGGAGAGAGAGCTCTGTTACTGAACGGAAGGAAAGAGGTGAGTGCGTCCGCTTTCTCGCGAGCGCGCGAGCGTGTGATTTTTTCTCTCTCGCGCGCGCTTAGAAATCGCGTTCATTCAGAACACTGTCTCGCCGGCTTCGCTGTTGAAGGGCTGTGTGTAGTTGCTCACCTGATTTTATGCTAATTTCTCTCTAGCACTTCAAACGCGCAAGATTTTAACGAAGTCATTTCCTCTAATTATAACTAGATGGTTATTACTCTGAGAAGCGTGGACGTATACTCGCGTGGACGTGTGTGTGCGGATGTGTTCCTCTGCTTGGCTGTGCCTGTATAGGTGCGCGTATCCACTTGTACGTGTGTGCGCGCGAGTGTACGTGTTTGCGTATGTATGAGTTTGCTATTATAGGACTATGTTCATATACCTTTAACGTGCGTGTGCGTGCGTGACTGCGTGCGTGCGTGAGTCAGTGCGTGCGTGACTGCGCTTTCGTGAGTCCGTGTGTGCGTGCGCGAGTGCGTGTGCGCACGGGTGCGTGCGTGTATACGTATATATGATCATATCGTATGTATATATTGCATTTTACTGTACGGGAATAGCGGGAAATGAGCAGAAGTTTCGGACGTAATATTATCAACCTTAAAGATCTCAACCTTATCCCGGTCTCGCGATCACGTTTAGCGATTTAATATCGCAGCGATTACGTGTTTTGCCAGCTTTCGCGGCGCGGTTAAAGAATACTTTGCTGTTCATACTTTGCCGCGCGAAAACGGTTTGTCAGCAATCTGCGGTTTCCCTAGTGAGTAGCCACGTTGAAATCAAGTTCCTACATATGTTCTTGATCAAGTGATCGTAGTAGTTTCTTAAGCGCATTTTAAATGGTGAATTGAGTTTTTCTCTGCGGGAAGTGAGAAAAAATGCCAAACGAATCGCACTTTCACTCTAATTGCTTACAACTCTGTTCGCTAACACACTTTTTGCGTATGCTTCCGGCAAAAAATGGCATGTTTGTCGGGGAAACGTCCATTACGGTAAGCATTACTCCTTTCGCGTTTGGTTGAGGCAAACTGCTGAGTAAGATATACAGGCTTGGTTCTCCACTGCGCAATCTAATCTGTGCAGGAGCATTATTAGCAATCGGGAATCGCGACGCGTGCGTGACTTAGAGAATTGGTAACACTGCTATTTGAAGCCTTCTTAGGTAAGCGACTTCGCATTACACAACATGCAACATATAGCTGGTTACGGACAAAATAACTGACATTGCTTCTATATTCTATATTTATAAAGATGTCTGAGAGAGATGCATGCAGATAAAACAACCGGCATTGTTAATTACTTATATGATATTTGACATATCTGCTTACCTATATAGTATCTGATATATCTGCTTGCCTATATAACATCTGACATATCTGCTTCCCTATATAGTATCTGATATATCTGCTTGCCTATATAATATCTGACATATCTGCTTCCCTATATAGTATCTGATATATCTGCTTGCCTATATAATATCTGACATATCTGCTTCCTTATATAGTATCTGATATATCTGCTTGCCTATATAATATCAGGAGCGTATAATGACAAATATAAGGAGCGTATTTGTCATTATACGCTCCTGATAATATCTGACATATCTGCTTGCCTATATAATATCTGACGTAGTCGATGACGTATATAATATCTGACATAGATGCTTATTGATAAAATAGCTGACACAGCTGGTTACGTATATAATATTAATGATAAATAATTGCAAATACAAAATATCTGAAATAGCCGCCCACCGATATATACACGGCTAACTCTCTGATGTAATAGTTTATTGACTTATGGATATAACATACGTGATAGATTCTTACGGGTGAAATATCTGACACAGCTGATTTTGTGTTTAATATCCAGGCTAGATGCTTACAGACAATATATCTGTCATTAGAGATTACGTATTTAATATATCTTACCTAGATGCTTTCCGATAAAATATTTCACATAGCCGATTACAGATATAGAATATCTGACACAGTTGCGTATGAGTATGTTGGATATCGCAAACCTGATTGAATCGCTCCATTGATGTTTCATCATTACACCAATAAGCGTGACGTCACTAACGTGAAACTAATACATATTACATTCGCCTAATTAACGTGTGGCGAGCATTTACCGTATCTTATCACTGCATGCCTACCATATCATTTCACTGCATGCCTACCTTATCCTTTCACTGCATGCCTACTATATCATTTCACTGCATGCCTACCTTATCCTTTCACTGCATGTCTACCTTGTCATTTCACTGCATGTCTACGTCATCCTTTCACTGCAAATCTACCTTGTCTTTTCACTGCATGCCTACTATATCATTTCACTGCATGCCTACCTTATCCTTTCACTGCATGTCTACCTTGTCATTTCACTGCATGTCTACGTCATCCTTTCACTGCAAATCTACCTTGTCTTTTCACTGCATGCCTACCTTGTCTTTTCACTGCATGGCCATCTTATAATTTCACTGCATGCCTACCTTATCCTTTCACTGCATGCCTACCTTATCATTTTAATGCATGTCTACGTCATCCTTTCACTGCATGTTTACGTCATCCTTTCACTGCATGTTTACGTCATCCTATCACTGCATGCTCATCTCGCCACGACGCTATATACTATCGATACGATGTTCGTTTTTGCTTCTTACTCTTGTGATAGCGTTGACGGTATATGTGATTGTATTGCCGCCGCTTCCGTTGATATTTCCCCATCCCGGCGCCTGCCGCTCCAATGTTAGGCTGCGTAAATATTGCTTAATCATAGGAGGGCGACATAAACTTATTACCACCGTAGAATTAGGCACGCCACGAGCTGATATTACGCTCTAGGAGAGCATCAGTAATGACCGTTATCCCCACATGCTAAACACGTGCTCGTCGCGTGTGATTTACGGGTGCTTATGTTAGGAAAGGTCACGAGAATTAGCTCCTCGTCTTTGCTTGTAAACGGGCGCATGAAGAATGATTCATTCGCTGTCGCTCTCTCTATCTCTCTCTCTCTCGCTCTCTCGTTATTTTCTCTCTCTCCCTTCATCCATCTCTCCCCTAGCTATCTCTTTATGTACACAAACGCGAGCAAGCATATATATATACGTGATGGTGTGTACGTGTGTTTGTATTATGTACGTGTGATGTGTGTGTGTGTGCGTGTGTTTCTGGGGGGAGTACGTCGTTACTTCTGTTTGGATGGGTGTATGTACGCGCGGGCGCATATCTGACGACCTGGGTATATCTGTATGCGAGCGTGTATGTCAGGATGCATCTTATAGGAAGGACGATTTAATTATCATTCTTCAGTAGTTATCGCATTTAACCATGAACGCATTTGTTACAAAGCCTCTACATGTTTACAAACATATTTATTTAATTATTTATTTATTCATTCATTCATTTACTTATTTATTTACTTATTTCATATGCATATATTTATATATTACAGTGAATATGTGATTTAAGCTTCTTAAGATTACAGAGCTTATTTGCAAAACTGCCTATGTTCATTTTTTTCAAAAAGTGAGTTTAAACCACCAATGTATAGTATGTGAACATAAGTACCGTGTAGAGTACTTTCTTCTTAAAAAACAGCCTACATTATGCTTAAATCATTTATCATTATTATTTATTATTTCTTTTATCATTTCTCTAAAATGGACATAGGCAGGCATTTGCAAATAAGCTCTGTAAACTTAAGAAGCTTAAATCATATATTCATTTTAATATAAAAATATTACACCCACACAAACGTAGATATATATACGTTGTGTGTGTGTGTGTGTGTGTGTGTGTGTGTGTGTGTGTGTGTGTGTGTGTGTGTGTGTGCGCGTGCGCGCGCGCGTGTGTCTATAACATTTTCCACGTTGCGGTCATGAATGTTTCACGTGTTGCAAGCTTGGCGTCGTTGTCCGCCCTGCATATTCCAATAGCTGGTAATCAAGCTCGCTTACGAGCCCTCACTAACCTATAACTCGCTGGTGATTATTACTTACTCGCGACTACACGCATGTATCACTATCAGGTTTCACTTTTCTCGGTTCATCCGCGCCCCCGAGGGTGTGTAGGTCTTCGCGCCCTAGGCTTCGTTCGGTCGGTCCGCAATGGGCGCATAGCTCGCGATATCACCGGTAAAACTCCTATTCGTATTCCTCACTGTGTAGGCCAGCCGACAGCGCCTGCTGTCGCGCTGGCGGGAAAATTCCGCACAAATGCCTGCCGGGAGAGCTCGTATTTTTCATTTAGCCGGTTTAACCGGTCGTGAGCACAGATCTAGCCAAAGCAATCACTTTGTCGTCGATTTAACGAGTCAAGAGCGCTCACTTTTATAGGAATGCATTTTGCTAGATGTCGCTGGTGCCGCAATATGCGTTAGGTGTATATGCATGCGCTCGAGATTCAACGAATGACCGCGCTTAAAGGTGAACAACGCGTAAAAATATGAGAAAATTTTTATAGCGAAAAGAAGAGCTACCGACAAAGAGATACGCATATACATAAGTACGCAGCGAGGATGTGAGATATTAAGGCGGCACTAGCGAGAATGCGCAGCTAACATGGAGACGCTAACCCTATCAGTAAGCTACTTCACAATAAGTGAAGTTATTAAATTGCTAAACGAAATGCGTATATACCTGCACCGATCCTAAAAGGCGGTAGTAGACGCGCGCACACATTGACTCCATCCTCCATGATCGCAATCGCACGCATCTGTTCGTAAAAAGATGAGCCATTCGTGCACGTGCTATGGCCGTTACTATTTTAATGATGCTGACCACTTCTAATAGGACACACAGATACAAATAGTGACGTATCAACTGGTATCGTCTTGCGATATCGCATATGCAAGATTTACCACGTTGGTTCTTCCCTCTCCTTTGTCACGCCCTTTTTCCCCGCTCCTCTCGCTCTCTCTCTCTCTCTCTCTCTCTCTCTCTCTCTCACTCACTCACTCTCTCTATCTTTATTTATTTCTCTCGCTCGCTCTATCTT